ATATATATAGTTGTTGTTTGTTTGTCTTTTTTTTTGAGACAGAATCTCACTATGCAATTCAGACTGGCCTTGAACTATCCTCCTGCCTCAGCCTCCCAAATTCATGTATATTTTTATAAGGCATTTTATCTTCTGTACAAGCCATGTCCAGTTGTTATTTTTAATTATTACATGTGTTAGGGATACAAAGTTTAAAAGAAACATAGATAGTTACATTGTTAACGTTGGTTACCCACTCCCGCAAAGGTTCTTCTACCTAAGAAAAATCAGGTCTAAAGTGCAGTGAATGTGCATGGATGGAGAATGGCAAAAATCAGCTTCCAGGGAGCAGAATATGTAACACGATTTTTGAGCGGAGAACAAAATTAGTGACTCATTACTTCGGATTCCGAATCTCCTCCGCTTTTCACAGAGTGGATTTTCTCAGGAACTATAACTTGCACTTGAGGTTTTTCCGAGTCTGCAAGGTGCAAATAGTCATGTGAGAACAATGCCCGTCCCCGCGCCGCGTCCTCGTCTAAATCCCTAACCTGTCTCCCTGCGCCACCTCCCCGTTTTACTGCCTTTCTCAATACTTCCACTTCCTGACAGTTTTTAGAAAGAAACTGGCATGATGTGTCGGGGAGCTGGCGTCTCGCTTTGGGTGGGTGGGCAGCCGCCGGCGATCAGCCCAAGCCTGCGGGTCACGTATGGGATCTCCCGTCTTTGCCAGGGTCCCTCTCGTCCAGCATGTACTCGGCTGGCGGAAAGAGGCGACAGGGTGGCCCCGGAGGCAGAGGGCAGACAGCGCGCTGTGGGACCCGAAGATGGGTTTTCCTACTTACAGTTCACCAGGGGCCAGCCCAGCCCTGCGAGCCCGCAGATCAGGAACAGGAGGCACAGCATGGCGGCGTCCTGGATCCCAGCCCTGGGAGTGGCAGTTGGTGCTGGGAGGCAGTTGGGGGCGCGAGATGACCCCTGGGCGCGCACCTGCCGGGGTCAAGGGACAGAGAGTGAGGGGCCGAGAAGGTCTCCGCAAAGAGATCTCTACTTGATTCTGCCCTTGCTTGAGACTAAAGGAAATAGAAAAAGGGAAAAAGGGAAAGAAGGAAGGGAGGAAGGAAAAGAACCATGTTTTTAGCAGCACAACTCATAACTCACAATAGCTAAATATTGTTATCTAGCCATCAACAGATGAATGGATAAAGGGAATGTGGTATTTATACACAATGGCGTAATTCTCTGCTATAAAGACGGATACATCTGAGACATTTGCAGGAAAATGAATACACCCGAGGCCACAATATTAAGGGAAATAGATCAGACACCCAAGCTTAAATATGGCATCGTTTCTAATATACGAGAAACCCAAAGTGTAAAAAGTTAAACAGCAAAATAAAGATGGATATTAGCAAACAAGGGGATCCCTTGCTGGGATGGTACATGCCTGTAATCCCATCACCTGGGAGCCTGAGGCAGGAGGATCATCACGAGTTTGTAACCAGCCTGGGCTACATAATGAGCTCAAGTCCAGCCTGAACTACATAGGGAGACCTTGTCTCAAAAAAACAAACAAACAAACAAACAAAAAAACACATTTCCAAGGGGCAGGGATTAATGAAATACCTAACAACAAATAGATTCACACATACTTCTTAAGTGAAGTTTTAATTCTTAATAATAATCCATTAAATATGTATTTGTTGGCTCAATCATAGGTGCTAAGTATCATATTCAAGTGCACAAGCCCCGAAAATGGCTCCCCGGATCATGAAATAAAGCAGAGCCACCCAAGCCTTTGACTCCTGACCTCAAACAACCGCAGATGAGTTTGGTCTGTTTTTGACTTTTTTGGAGATAGAACCAATTACTAGTTGCTCTTTTATGCTTGGGTTCCTCTAATATGACAGTTGTAAGGTTCATCTACAGTAATATTTTTAGTTTATTTGTTTATTTTTTAAAATATTTTTCACACATAGAATGGTGTACCACCATGTGCTTTCCATTTTACTGTTGGTGGACATTTGGTGTGTTTCCAAGTTATTAAAAACAATATAGAGCTACACATATTCTTGGATATGGTTTTTGGTGTAAAGATAGGGATTTCTGTAGGACATACTTCTAGAGCAGAGCTGATGGATTATAAGGTGTATCTTAGGAGATTCTTCCAAGAGTTCTCCAAGACTGTGGTACTAATTTGTACTCCTGTCAAAAGTGTATGGAAAATAAATCAGACACACAAGCTCAGATACCACATGGCTTCTCTTGTATGAGTCACCCAAATTATAAATGAAGAACAGAATAACAGATAGTAGGAAGTAGGGACATAGGTCTTTCCCAAATGGGAAGGGACTCAAGAGGCAGAGGGGCGAGAGGAAGGAGATGAAAAAGGACTCGGAATATGCTATGTACATGTATCAGCTCCACACAACCCTGTAAACATTATATACTGCAAACGTGTACTAATAAAAAATTCAAATTACTCCATATCAGTGCCTAAACTTTTCTATTTCATTTATTTTGATCTAACTGTAGGGATCCTATATTTTCCTTTTAATTTATGTTTTCTTGATAGTTAATGAACTGTAACTCAATTTTCCCTGTTTATGCCAATGCATATAACCGGTGGAGACTTTGGTACAGTTTCTAACTGGGCTGCCCTGTTTATTACACACGGAAACTGTTAATGTGTTATAGATGAGGTACCTTTGTTGGATATAATGATTTCAAATCCACAAGGTATTTGAAAGCTTTTTGTGGAGAATACAAGTCATATTCAGAATTTCACAAGCTTAAAATTTGTCTTGCTGGTTGAATTTGGGGGCCAGTTATTGTAATTTTTTTTTGAGTACCAGGAATCAAACTCAGGACCTTGTGCTTGCCCGGCAGCTGCTTATGCCACTGAGCTATGTCCCGGGCCTGGGACCAGTTATTAATTCATGCCTATCCTTGGTCTGACATAATTTTAGATTAACCCACATATTTATTAATCCAGTTATTTATTCTTAGAAGGTCTTATTATGTGGTAGTGGAAATTAAACCCAGGACCCTCCCACTAAATTACATCCCCATCCCATTTCTTTATTGATTTTGGTTTTTATTTATTTATTTATTTATTTATTTATTTATTTATTTTGGTTTTTTAGATAGGATCCCACTACATAGTCTAGGCTGGGCTTGGACTCACTGTGTACCCAGGCTACCTAAAGCTCATGGTGATTCTCCTGCCTCGGCCTCCTGAGTGTTAGGATTATTGTACCTGATCCTGTACTTGTTTTATGGTAACTTTATTGGTATAAACCAAATCCTCTATTGCAGGGAGGACAATGAAGAGGGACAGATCCACAGTGAGAGTTCACATTTTAAATTTGTCTTGAAGGGTGACTTTGAGGACCAGATACAAAGTCATACTTACCTCTGGCCTGGTATACTTTTAGATTAATTCACATACTTACTAATCGTTACTTATGTGGTGATTATTAGCTCAAACAACTCTGTGTGTGTGTGTGTGTGTGTGTGTGTGTGTGTGGGTGTGCATTTGTGTGGCACTGGGGATTGAACCCAGAGCCGCCTCACTAAACTGTGTCCACATCCCTTTTTATTTTTTATGTGGGGACAGAGTTTTGCTAAGCAGCTAACTTGCCCAGGCTGGGTTCACACTTGCAAGCTTCTGACCTCAGCCTTTTCGAGCTCTGGGATCACAAGCATGCATCAGCACTCCCTGCTCCAAAGAACTTTTGTTTTGTTTTGTTTTGGTTTGGTTTTTGTTTTTTTTTCCAATACCGGAAATCAAACTCATGACCTTGAGCTTGCCAGGCAGGCGCTGTGCCGCTGAGCTAAATCCCCAGCCCCTCCAAGCAACTTTTGAAAACCTGGCATTTAATTTAGACCACTTAAGGCTATACTTTCAGAGATCATTTCTATAGTGTGTTTATTTGGACCACTTATTTGAAGCAATAGTCACTATAAAAGCCCTGTGTTCCATTTCTACCCAACCTCCTAAAAAAGAAAACAGAAAGAAATTTAAATTCTTTCAAATGAGAAGAAAGTATCCTATAGGAACTTTTAAAGGAGAGATGTCTATTAGGGCGCTGTTGTTGTTTTATATTGTTCAGTGGTTCTGGGATCAAAAATCCAGCCTCGATCAGCCTATTCTTGCTAAGGAGTTTCCTGCGCTGTCTGCAGCTCCCAACTGCCTGCTGCCTCCGCTGTCCTGCTGTATCCCTGTGTCCCTCCTGCCTGAGGATAGGTGAACTCTGAGCACCTTCCTGGTTCATCCTGCAGATGACAGAGACACATGTCCAACTCGGTGCTGGGTGATGACAGTATATTCTCAGTGGGAACAGTTTTTGTTTTACTGAATGACTTCCACGTGCCAGGCTGTTAGTCCAAAGGACTTATCTGTCAGAATATCTAGTTGACTGTTCATTTAGTAGAATTTCAAAAGTCAAGCAATATTTCCTGTGAAGTGAATTTGGTTATAGGACAGCAAAAAATTTCTAGCAAAACAGGAAGAAAATAAAATTGTCTGGTTATACCTGAAAAACTTTGTTAGGATTGTGTGGCATATTTCTGTTGGATTCTATTTAGTCATATATTTGAAAGGCTCCTTTCACAAAGATACGAATGTAGTGAATTTTCTAATTCTAGTTCTTCCTTTCTTCCTCTGTGTATTGCCAGTATTTCTCCATATCAGTCATTTTTCTGCACCCCACCCACTTTATTTTGTTTTTAGCAGAGGTGAGTTAACATGACTAATAAAAGTGAAACACAAAATACTTAGGTTAACTTTGAACAGGTGCATATCCATTCCCCAGCCTTTTGGCTTCAGACTGAAAATTCTTTCTTGGATTAACCTTCTTAGAGGTTTTTTTTTCTTTCCGGAAACTGACATCCCCTAACACTCTTATGATTGCTACAGAATCTATAGAGAATGTAAAAACCATTTGAAGATACTAAATGCACCTCTTAGCATGTAAATCTTTCCAACCTTTATTAACAAACTGGCAGGCATAGGTGCTTGGGGTGGATATGGCTGCTTGTCCATGGCAGGTGCTCAACTTTCCAAGCACAGATGTGCGCTCTGCCCGTGAGTGTGTCACCTGCTACACTTTATCATGAGTCAGTTAATGGCACCGTGTGGATGTGCAGAGAGTTACCAGCTTCCTCTTGTTGGAGGTTTTGGTGCTTCCTGGTTAGCTCTTCTCAGATTAATCTTCTCTGGGTAGTGATAATTCTTAGGATGAGTCCCTGGGGGTATAATTTTGCACAGATGTGCTTCATGTGCACAGATGTGGGTGTGCATAAGCACACCATGTTCTACTGGTGTAGTGTCAGATTAATTTCCAAAAATATCATACCTGATTACACTTCCTTCCAATAATTTGTAGGAAAACATCCATTTGAATGTTCCCTTTTCATCACTGAGCTCATTCGTAACAATTTAAGAATACAGAAAACTTGCTTGGTTAGCTAGGAGAGATGTTAATTTTAACGTTTTAGTTGCCATTTTTATTTCAAGATGAGGCCTTCCCTTTAAACTTGCTTTGTGACTTGGTGGCATATCATGTTGATTTTTCTCATCTTTTTCTCTATTTCTTGCTGCTTTGCGCTCACTTTTTATCAATTCAGGATATAAGCTTTGTCCATCATTGTGAGCAAAATAGTAATGTTTATTTCTCTCAGTGAGCATGGTTACAATTGCACACACATTTTCACAGAAAGTTAAGGAGAACATACCTTGAATTTTAATTTTAATGTAAATAATTTTTGAAAGTTGAAATGTATTTGGTGATATAGTATTTATTTGTGCACATTTATTTAGCAAGAGCATTAAAATTCTTTGAGAATCATGGTTAAAAAAAAGCTGGCTTTTATCATAATCTGGAGACTTCTCAAGTAAATGTTTTGCATCATATGCAGAATGTGCGGTTCACGAGATCTTGTCAGATTTATGTTTATGACCTGAATTTGTGTGTCCTATGAAGAGACCTTGCTATCCCGGAGCCTTTCCACTGAGCTACATCCTCAACTGTTTTATTTTTTATTTTGAAACAGGTGTTGCTAAATTGCTATATTGCCCAGGCTGGGCTTGAACTTGTTCCCTCCTGCTCCAGCCTCACAGAGGCTGTGATTATACATGTATGCCATCATGTCTGGTGGATTGACTAATGGTCAACTTGGAACACCCAGGTGAACTGAGTGAGCATGGGTCTGGTGTGGAAGGCCCCCCTGAGGATTGCTGCCAACAGCATAAGAGGAGAACTGGAGGGGAAGGTGGTGTGCTGCTGCTGGAGAAGCTTGTCACGCTGGTTTTCTGATAAGAACTCAGCTGTTCTCGTCTTGGGTCCTCACTGTCGCTGAGGATGGCTGTGGTTCTTTTTGGGGGAGCTGTGGTCCTTACCTTGAGCGTCGCTTCCTGGCTCCGGTACAGGTCTCTCAGCAGATCTCACAGATCTGTTTGTGCCTGGCGGCACTGATCCTTCACCCTGCTGGCACAGACTTTCTAGTGTCTACTGCTATAGGGGAAAAAAACTCCCAACCTGAAGGATATCTGGGATGAGTCTGTGTTCTCTAAAATTAAAGAATGAATTTTAGGAACAACAGAGATTAACAGCAGAGTATATTTATTGAGGGAAAGAAAGCTTCTGCCCCAGAGAGGGACAGTGGGGGGCCAGAGTGGGTTGCCCAGGAGCCTGTCTTTTCTAGGGATTTTAATAGAGCAAATCCAGGAGGTGAGGCAGATCCAAGGTGGAAAACTTGGGAACTTGCTAGGTGGGCGTGAGGGGGGATGAAACTCTGGTTAACCAGTAAGACTATCCTAAAATTGATTAAATTGGGATCAAATAGAAAAGCGAGTCAGGTAGCCAGCGGGCAGGAATACAGAACAGGTGTCTTTCCTGTAGGAGGTTGGACTAGTGACTCTTCTGGCTTTATCAAGGTGATTGCTACCTATTTAGAATATCAATCCCTGAGGTCTACACCTAGGGAAGTATGTGGGCACATCTGTTTAATCTTCTGTTCACAGCTGGAGGGGTCTCTCTCTCCCACAGGTGCAAGGTATCTCATCTTTCATACTGGCTCCTTCGAGGGCCTGGCCCTCTCTAACTGCCTATAATATTTCTAATACTTCCATCTAACTCAGCTGCCTGTAACACTACTACCGGCCTTTGATCTTCCCAGGGCAGATCTTTGATAGGCTTGCATGAGAGAGCCAGATATGCTGACACACACCTATAATCCCAGCATTTGGGAAGCTGAGGCAGGAGGATCACCCTGAGTTTGAGGCCAGCCTGAGCTACATAGTGAGTTTAAGGCCAGCTTGAACTACATAGCAAGATCCTGTCACAAAAAACCAAATAGACTTACGTGAGATGTGGGCTCTAGCTCTCCAGCTGGCCTCGTGCGGGGCACTGCCGTAGGATCTAGGCCCTCAGTTGGATTCTTTGGGTCTTTAATTTGTGGACAGGTCTCTTGCACTCCTCTGCATTTGACTTTTTGGGTGAATATTATAAAATAATCCTATAAATTATGTGTCTTGTATTAAATCTATTCCTTTGCAAAGCCTGACTACAACATCTGGCTTGAAGGCATTTGATTCACTGGACCTCTATTTGCCAGAAAAGTAGAATTTCTGAGGTACCTGTGAAGGTTTATGGAGATTATTGGATAGAGCTTTGATTTTGAGCTAATAGGGAAAATAGACTTGCCTGTGTGTGCTCTTCCTCGTGATGTTCCAGGGTGCTTCTCCCCTCATCTGCTCCCTTACAAATGATCTTGGACATACAGTTCATGAAGCAATGTTATGACTATACGTTATCCCCCTAAGACCCATGTTTGCCTTTTAAATGAACCCTTCAACTCTCAGATGCAAAATGATGGAGGAGCCGGCAGTGTGGCTGGAAATTTAAAGTCACTATAGGTCTCGTCCTAGGATAACCTGGAAATGGCACAGTTCATCCTTCTGCAGCATTTCTTCTCATCAGGCACTGGTCAAAAACTCTGCATACATTACCATAATTAATGTCAACAGCCTGGTATGCACTAGGTGCTACTAATGCTTGGTACTATTAAAATTAGGTACTATTTACAGGTAAGGGCGGGAGGCAGCAACCCTTTCTCAAGGTCACACACAGTAAGTGCAGCAGATATCTGACCCAGTTGGTGTGACTCCAGATTTAGAAAGGGATAGGTCTGTGGTGGAAGACGCCCAACTTTGGAACCACAGCCCGAGTCACAGCTTGCCCCAATCTAGCCAAGTGGCTCTGGGCAAGTTAGCTGAACTTGTTTCCCCACCTGTGAAATGGGAATGACCCTCTGGAAAGGTCAGCGGTGGTGTGTCTAAGACCAGGGATACTGCTGACATCTCTGACTGCTCTTGATTTTTGTCACACACACAGAGACACACGCAACCTTGCTGCCTGGCCAGCTTATACTCATCTTTATTCAGAACTTGCCTGGGGAGTCCACACGCTCTGCAGCACTTCCCTACACAGGATAGACCAAGGGTGGCGTGCAGACATCTGTGAGTGTACTGTGCTAGAGCAGTAGGTGGAAAGGTCTCAGGACCCAGCCTGGGACTTGGTTGGGGGAACAGCTGGCAGACGCTAGACTGCAGAATGCAGAGCTTGGGTGGAGGGTCGGGACAGCCAAGGTGGAATGTGCAGGATTCAAAATGGCGGCGCTGAAGGATGTGTGAGAATCATGGGGTCATGGCCAGGCTGGGGTGGCGGGAGTAGGGGCCGGGCTCAGTCCAGCAGGAAGGCTTTATATCCAGAGGCTGTGACCTCCAGTGTTCAGGATCAGATTCTGTGTTTGCGCGGCAGGGGGCAGTTAGGAGGCTGCTGCATCAGGACGCTGGTGTTCAAAGCGGGGCAGAGGACAGACCGGTGTAGGGGACAAAACTAGGAAATTGGGTCCCTCTGTATTTGAACATGACAAGAGAAAGAAGCTGGAGGAGGAGAGCAGCACTGAACCCTGTGGTGGTTGCTGACCAAATGGGGAGCTGTAAATTTAAATTTAAATTAAACTTAAATGAAATTTAAATCCACAGTCTCGGTAGCACAGTGCAAGTGCTTCGGGTCTTCACTGGTACCCACTAGGGAACCAGGGAGGAAAGGCACATGGGTACTGGGGCTCAGGACTGCAGACCATTGCCTCTTCCCCACAGGTTCCCAGACAGCGCTGGCCTGGCTCACAAGGCACCTGGAGACCACAGCAAGGCCCAAGAGCAGAGGGAAAGTGTCTGTCCATCCCGATGCAAGACCTCCTTCCAACAAGTACCCACTCTACCTTCTCAAGAGCACAAAGATCAGAGTGTTGCTTCTATAGAGGTGCCCCCCAGCCTCATGTCGTCCTAGCTGGGGCTTTGGAAGGTCGTTGGAATATCTGGCTCATAGCTGATTTGCTGTGCTAACTTGCTGACCTGCCCTAGAGCCAGAGGACTATGGGTTGAAACCTCTACAAATGGAGCCAAAAAAACCCTCTGTTTCTTTGAGTTGCTGCGGTTGGGTATTGTGTCCTGGTGATCAGAAAGTGACTACAACACAGAGACACAGCCATTTTTGCTTTATTGATTAAGGGATCCTATTCTCTGCTGCGATGTTTCCAAAGGAACTGCAGATTTTCCTGCAGAACTATGAACTGTCAAAGAGAAATCACCACAAGATCACCTCACCGTGTCCCCACAGGACATGGGCCATTTTAATCCCCTCCCACCTTCCCCTCTAGCCTCTGCTTACTCCTGTCATGTTGCCATTGACATTAGCCATCAGTGTGATCACACCCAGGGAATTAACATGCGCTCTCTCCTGCATTTATGATTTGCAAACTCAATTGACTTCACTTTAGAGAAAATCACTTTTTGGACAATGTCTTCAGATCAAAGCGCTGGGTCTAAGAGATGTGTGTGATGCCACCTCTGGACACCAAGCCTTCCCTGGATGACCAGGCCAGAGGACTTGGACTTGCCACAGGCTAAATCTTCGAGAGGAGGGTCGAGTTCTTGACTTCAGCCTCTAGCCAATCAATGAGGATCTGATTCACCTCAGCGGGCCTGGGTGAGGACAAAGCGCAATTCACATCGAGGCCACCGACCTCCCGGAGGCTGAAGCCAGCAGCACGAGGACTGCAAAGCTTTCACTCAGGAACAGGAAGCGGGGCGTCCTGACCCCCACCCAGGGACCTCCTTACTTCTCCATCTGTGTCCAGTGTCCACAGTTCTTAATGTGCCCTCTTTTCAGGTGGGGAATCTGAAAGAGAAGCCCATGCAGGAAAGGTTAAGCAGCAAAGTGCAAGTGACTTTGGTTTCAGGTGAGTGTGGTAACGGTGGGGGCCACCTGGGAGGGCACCCTTTGCTCTCTGGGTCCCACAGGCCACCCCCAGCGAGCCCTGCATCATTTATGGAAGGAATGAGGGGCGGAGGAAGGACTATGTCAGCATGGGACAAGGGAACGGTTAGCCTCTGTCCTATTCTCCGCTGCTGTCTCCTGCAGGACCCCTGTGACCTCTCCCAGGGTGCACTCATGACCCCGGGCAGTGATGTTCCCTCACCCGGTCCTCCATGTGCTTGGACATCTCAGGAACAAGTACGACATCTTTCTCTGCCGTCACCATCAGGGCCGGGATCAGGATCTGGTGGGGAACAGGCCACAGGAGCAGCGGCAGTCCACACTGATGCCCTCTGCCCACCCAGACATGAGCAGCACCCTCACGCCCCTGTGTGTGCGCATGTGTGTGCACATGCGTGTGTGCTGGCTCCCACCACCACCACCTTAGGAATGCCCACCTTCCCGCTGCAGGGCTGGCTGCTCCTGCCAAGCTGAGCAGGAGGGGGTCTCCCTTATTCCCAGAGATCTTCAGTGTGATGGGTTTAGGACACAGTGCCCAGCATCACACAAATGTGTCAGACAGTGGGGTCTGGGTGCTCAGTGACTGGTGCTCGTGGAACTGACTCTGTAGCACTAGTAGGAGGACAAAGGTCAAGATTCCTTGCGTCTCCTTCAACGCAGTGGCCAGGACTCCAGAGAACAAAAGGGTTAGCAAGATGGCACTGGAGCCAGCAGGGGTGACATCACTTTGACCTGCTGGCGGATGGGCACTGGATGCCTAGGAAGCCCCTGCTTTCTCTCTGTTCTCTTGCTACCCTTTCTGTCATGTCCAAGCTGCCTCACAGGGCCCGATGGGGAACTTGCCCTGTTTTTCACCTACAAGTGCAGAGTGATAGACTCCTCAACACACCCCTCCTCTGGAGCCACAGGAAATTCCAAGGTGATCTTGTGGCTGAGACTAATCCCAAGTCACTGCTGTGGGGTTCTGTAAATTCTAGAACATTCCAAGCCAAAATGTAAACTGGCGGGGGGTGTGAGAGGAGGTGGGACAGGAGTGAGGAAGAGCTGGCAGGTGGAGGTGGAGGAACGGGGTTCCCAGCCTACGCTACGAGGGGTCACTTCCCCAGTGCCTTTGCTTCGCTCTGTGCTTGAGAGATCTGGTCCGTGGAAGTGCAGTGCGGTGTTTTGTCAGTCACAGATTATAAAGGTGATCATGACAAAAACTAGTTTAACAAGTGCCTTGTGCCAAGTGCCTGTTCTTAACACCACACACGCCCACTTCCTCACAGAGGGAGGCACTGTTGTCATTCCTTTTTTGCAGAGAGGGCAACAGAGGCTCAGAGGGGTCCAGTGTCTTTCCCAACATCACCGGGGCCGAGCTGATCTCAGTCTGCTGTAAACTGTGGTGTCGCATGCTCTGCCTCTCGGGACCCTTTCCAGCAGGGCATCACTGCCTGCATCACTGGCTGCGAGATCCCCGAGGTCGAGCTCACTGCCTGGCTCATCACCGGTGTGTTCACGCACAGGCTGGGAGCCCACAGATAACCAGGCTCCCAGGGAGCTGCCCAAGGCCCGCTACATGCAATACTACCTCTTAACGTTTGAATGTAGAATTATTCCCTGTGGAGACCCAGGGATTAGAAATCTACCATTTGCTTGGCAAATGAGGAAACAGGCTCGGAGACACAACCAGAGTGACAAAACCAGAGGCCAAAGGCAGGCCTGAGACCATGCCACTCTCCTGTGGTTGGGTTCCATCACCCCTGTCACCCTGGGAGATATTCTGGCCCATCTGCTGCCTCGGTCAGTTACCTGGACATAGCTCTGCTGTCCCCAGTATCATCCAAAGGGACACATGGCAGGGAGAAGGGGCCTCAGAGGAGGCTCCTGAGTGGAGTCCTGTTCCAAAACCCAGAGGGAGAGGAAGCAGGAAGCGGCCCAGCTCTGGCCCAGGGTCTTATCCAGAGTCTAACTGAGGCTCCCAGGAGGAGGCAGGCGCTGCACTCACCTTCCGTCCCACACCTCTGCAGCCCCACTTCCAGTTCCGTTCCATATTGCGATACCAGTTCAGGGGGCCTCTACGAGTGGGTTGGAACACACACATGTAAGATGTGACTGCTGCAGTCCCCACAGGAACCCTTGGGCCAGAACCAGCCCTCCCAGGGAAGCAGCCTTCTGCAGGGCCTGACAAGAGTGTCCAGGACCTGTACCTTGGGGTGGGCACCCTTGCTGAGGACAGAGACAGAGGATTCCAGCAGAGGGCAGCCTGAGGGGCTTCCAGAACTATCCTCCAAGAATTGTGTTGATTGGGGGAGGCTGCTGAGTTGGGACAGTGAGTTAGCCCTCCACACCTGGAGGCCACTCCCCGGCTCCCCAGGACCCACTGGAAAGGAGTATCAGCAGGCCATACAGAAGCCTGAACTGACAGTGATGCTACTCCTATGGATTTCTGCATTTTTCTGAAGATGGAACCATCGTCTTGTTCTCAGAGGAGCTGTAACTAGAAATAATTAAAACTCTCTGCCCTGTGGGAGGCCCACGGCATAAAAAAGAGCAAGCTAGGCTATCTCACAGTCTGCTGAGCCCCAGATGGCAGTGAGCGGCCCGACACTGGAGGCACTGAAGCACGGGTGGGCCTGAGCTTGCAGGGGACCATGGTAGAGGGAGATGGCTGGGGTCCCCCTCTGCTGGCCACCTGGCCTCTGTGTCAGGGGCACGGTCCTCTGTGTACCTGAAGCCAGACTTCTTGAACTGCTGCACATAGAACTGAATCTCCTCCTCGGTGACCATCTTGCTGAGGCCGGGATCCTCTGGGGTCTTCACAAAGAGCCCTCCTGCAAAGAGCCACTCATCTCACCTGCGCTCAGGCTGGTACTTCTGCTGGGTTAGATCCAGGATGCCCCTGTTCCAGGCCAGGTCACCCCGTTGCCTGCACCCCCTTAGACAAAGCCTCTTCTACCAGCTATGTCCCTTTGGAGAGGCCTATCCTACGACTTCCTGTCCATGCTGCCTCGTGGCCAGGAAGAACCGGAGGCCAAGGAGCTGGGGTCTTATTGCAGACTCCCCTTTGGGATCTTTGTGTGGGAGGCCCTCTCTGTTTCAGAGAGGTACTGTGTCCTGGCAGTAGTGGGTCCCCTGAGAGGGCCACTTGACAGCTGGCAAACAAAGGACGATTCAGTTTCTGGGACACACCCAGGGGTGTTAATGCTGGCACCCAAATGGCCCCACATCACCCTTTTAAGACCCAAGGTACAGGGGCCGGCCATTGATGGAGGCCATTATGAAGCAGTTCTGAGCAGGATTTAATATTAACCAGTTGGCTTTTCATGTTTAAGCATGAGTTTGCCTGAGGCCTAGGCCCTTGTCTGAAGATGGGCAATGGACTCATAGTAAGTGAGCCTCTATGAGTCATTGGTCCCTGCTGATGCCTGTACTGGCCTGTGAAGTTGGGACGTCTCAAAGGACAAAGGCCACACATGAGGACGTTTGGCTCCAACCCCAATTAACTAAAAGGAGACTGTAGCTGCAGGTGTCTCACTCCTGCAGTGAAGGCCTTCCAGGAGTTAACATAGTTCTCCTAAATTAACATAATGTATTACAATATTGGAGAAGTCCTTAAAGAGTCCTGCCCAGATTCTTGTATTTTCTTCAGTATTCCCCTCTTTTGTTTGAAAACCTAATAAATATGGGCTGCCTAGAGAAGTTTTTTGTCTTAACCAAGAGAACCTAGAATTCTGTGAGAGGGCTGGACCCTCCGGCAGCCCTAAAATCATTTCAGTTGTCTCATTTATTTAAGTCTTGGCCATCCACTCATTTGGGAGATTGTGGACCTGATTAGCCTGCAATAACTAAAGGATATTATCAATGCAATAGGCCATTGTAGACTTCTGTGCCTGATGTCATAGAGGTAAGTGACCAGCTATCCCCTGTGACAGGCTGGCACTTTTTTCCCACTTATATCTCAGCACCCCAGCTTTAAGTGCACCCTAACTGCTATTTTCACCCCATTACTGCTGCTCTGCCTCCCTGAGACCCTGGGCTCCCTGAGGGCGGCAGCTCTGCTTCCCATGGACCTGTATCTGTGGTCCCAGCTGCTGTTTCCTGGGCACATGCTCAGAACGCACTGGGGACAAAATGGCTGAGTAAATGAATGTGCTAAGGAGTGGGTGTGTGAAAACATAAAGCAATGGCAGGACGAAGGGGGCATTCCTTGACTGGATGATGCCTAGAGTCATAGGAGTTTAACCCCAGCTCTGCCCTTCTGGGTAAGTCAACCCTCTGAGACCTGTTGAGTAGTACGGAGGTCATCATGATGATATCAGACATGTTCTGAGGATTATAAATAATCTACCTACTGGGGGCAGAGTGCAGTGTCTGATGCCAACAGCAGGTGCTCAAAGCAGTGGCAGTGATCAGCAATATTAATAAAATACAAGAGGATAATGGCAAGGGCACAGTGTTGGGGCAAAAATAAGGTTTTGTGGGAATGAGGCTCTGATCTGAGCTCCACTCCAACTGCTTGCTTTGGTCAGCCCCACAGGGAGGACAGGATGTCCCTCCTAGAGTGACCAGAATAGGGATCTTGGGGGGCAGCAGGTGACGAAGGAGGAGGGGGGGGTGGGGGGGGCAGCCCTTTGGGGCCCCCCACGCTCAAGGTGACCCTGCAGGTCCCTTCACCAGCTTGGGCTCAGGTCCTCATCAGCACAGGTGGAATTGCCCCCAACAAGCTCCCAAAGCCCTCCAAGCCCTGCCTGCTTAGGATCCTGGTCCACAGCTCCTTACAGCAAAGGAACCTGGGCCACACAGTTTCTTACCCATTTCAGTGACTTTATGCACACTGAGAAAACCCTGTGGGAAGAGAGGGGTAGAAAGGATGTCAGGGAAGCAAAGCAAGTATCCTGAAACCAGTCTTCTGAAAGCCCACTTACAACCAAACTCCAGCAAGTACCATATAGGCTACCATGGTCCCATGCAGACTACCCCAGAGAGGGGTTTGTTCTGAGACCCCTCGGGATGAATGCCCAAGGTGCACTGGACTGAGCAGAACACTGTATGCTATGTGCTTTTTACACACTTCTGATATGTGCCTACACACCTATGATAAACTTTACCTCATAAATGAGGTCCAGAAAAAGATTGCCAATAATTAATAACGAAACAGGGTACCCAAGCAATACTGCAATAAAAGGTATGTACATGTGGCCTCTCTTTCTCTCCCAAAACATAAGAGACAAGAAGATGACTCACATCCCAAGGGGGCAGTGTGAGATTTCATTAGACTTACCCCGAATGGTACCTGATGTAAAACTAATTATTCTTTTTCTGGAATTTTGCATTTAATGTCTATGGACCACGGTTGGCCAAGAATAGCCGAAGCCATGGAAAGTGAAATCATGGAGAAGAAGGGACCACCCTGTCACAAGCTCACTAAGCCCCCACAGAACCTCCTGTGAGTCAAACAGAGTGCTGACTGACAGAGCTCTGGGCTGAGACAGCCAACTGGACCAAGAGATGATAGCTGAGACCCACAGAGGGGAAAAGACCAAGAACGAGACACTCCCTAGACTGGTGCAACAGCTGTAGAAATCAGTGTGGAAATTCCTCAAAAAACTAAGACTAGAGGTCCCAGTTGACCCAGCTATTCCCCTTCTGGGTATCTTCCTGAAAGAATTAAAAGCATCATACTACAGCAATATATGTGCACCCATGTTTATAGCAACTTAGTATGTAATAGCCAAATCTTGGATCAAGCACCCATCCTGGTGAATGGATAAAGAAAACATGGATTTTTTATACAAGGGAGTACTACTTGGCCATAAAGAAGGATAAGCTTGAGACATTCCTAGGTAGATGGATGCACCTGAGACCATATTCTTAAGTGAAATAACTCAGACACATATGTGTAAATATCACATTGTTTCTCTGGTGTGAGAAACTGAAAGTGTAAATAAGGACAAGAATGTATAATAAACATTGTGAAATAGGAAGAAAATGTTCAAATGGGGTGAGGAACAAGGAGAGGAGAAAAGAAGAAAAAAATGGAAAAGAAGCTTTTGTAAATGGGGAGGGAATGAGGGGTTGAAGGGAGGGTAGAGGAATGGGGAAAAAACCAAGTTATATCATGTACAGGTACACATTCTCTATGATGAATGTGATAATTATGTATATCGAAAATATACCAATAAAATCTGATTTAAAAAATAAAGAGTGAGACATTCCCTGCCCCTCCATGATAAAACCTTTGCACCCTCAGATAAAGGGTAGATTAGAAAAAATCCAGCCATCGTGGCAGGAGATGTTAAGGGAATTTACCCTTCTCAGTTTGTTACCAAAAGAAAATAAAAAGGAGTTCTCCTAAAACTTTACAGCTACTAATTTGCCTTCACCCCGTTTGTGTCTGAACTTACACTGTCTGTGTGATCAGGAAAGCCCGATGCGTGACACAAACAACAAAGAAAACCCAGGCAGGTAACGCAATCAACATGCTGCACCAGAGAGAGGCTAAGCCACTCAGGACGGTCAGTTCCTCAGCCCAAACTGAAGCAGGCTCGGAAAGATTAAGGGTTGCTACAGACAAAACCTCAAACCAAAACTACCAAACACACACACACACACACACACACACACACACACACACACACACAGAGGCCCTTAGCAAGACATAGCACATGCAGCTATCAGTAAAATAAAATATGATGCTCCAAAATAAGAAAAAATAAAATAAAACACATAAAACAAAACAGAAAAGGGAAAGAAGATCAAACATGAATATGTTTAAAATGATTAAAGTCATAAAAGAAACTGAAAATAAGACTAATGAGATTATCAGAATAAATTGGAATGATTTCAAAAAGTACCAAATACAACTTTCATGAATAAAAATAGCTTTTGTATTTTAAAAAAAACTTCAAAGCAGGGATAGACCACAGGTTATGTGATAAAATGTATAAAAGCAAATAATTATATCTGGAAATGTACACTTGAGGCAGATTTCTCAAAAGCAATGGCAGAAGAAAATTCTATACTCAGGTAAACTATTCTTGAAGATTAAAAGCAAAAATATGTTTTCAGGCCACAGTAGCCTTTTTTATTTTGTTTTTAAAATTGTTTTCTTTTTGTTTATTTTTGTATTAGCACATGTTTGCAGTGCATAATGATTACATCCATTGTGAGGAACTGGTACATGTACACAGCACATCTCAGTTCCTTCCCCCCCTTCCTATCCACTCCTATTTTTTAAAAAATATTTTTGCCAGCATCAGATGTTTTCAAGTCTCTATCAAGTTAATTATCATAAACACAGATTAACAGCCAGACTAACAGGTCAAAAAACATATAAGATACGACAATTATACCAAATGAAAGTACACTTTTAGATACATTGGCCACACAGGATTATAATAACTTCCTCCCTCCCTCTCTCTCTCTCTCTGTCTGTCTGTCTCTCTCTTTCTACCCGTCTATTTTATTTTGCACTTTATCTATATAGTGGGATTCTCATATAAAAGAAAGCATGCAATATTTAAGCTTGTGTGTCTGACTTCCATCACTTAACATTATAGTCTCCAGCTGCAACAATTTTCCTACAAATGATCTAAGTTTATCCTTCTTTATAGGACCACATTTTCTTTATCCATTCATCTGTTGATGGACACGTAAGCTGCTTCCAAGATTTAGCTATTATGAACTGAACTGCTGGGTATGCACGTATGGCTGTGATATGATCTCTTAACTCTTTTGGGAAGATACCAAGAAGGGGTATAGCTGGGTCAAAAGGGACCTCTATGTTTAGCTGTTTTGATGAATCTCCATATTGACTTTCTTGGCTGTTGTACCTGTCTACACTCCCACCAGCAATGTGGAAGAGTTCCTTTTCCCCCTGCAGCCTCAACAGAATTTGTTATTGATTGATTTCTTGATGATGACCATGCTTTCTGGAGTGCTGGAGAATCTGGAGAATCTCAGTGTTGTTTTAATTTGGATTTCTTGAATGGCCAGTGATGTTTTATTGTGTATTTATTGTCAGGACAAAATATTCTGACTTTAGCACTAACAGTCTTTGTGTGTATGTGTGTGTGTGTGTGTGTGTGTGTGTGGGAGGGAGGGAGTTGGGTGTATACTGGGGCTTGAACCCATGGCCTTTGCACTGAGCTACATCCCTAAACCTTACTTTATTTTTATTTTTTGAGACGGTTCCCACTAAGTCAATATATGTCCTAGGCTGGGTTCAAATCTGTGATCTTCCTGTCTCAGCCTCCAGAGTGCTAGGATCACAGGTATTCATCAGCACTCCTAGATAGCAGCCTTTTACTGGAGAACCACTAAAGGAGATGCTGCAGGAAGAAAGGAACTAAACTGGACATGAATGAGAGAGATTCAAGAGGAGATCAGAAAGACACTGGAAAACCTGGGAAAGCCTAAGCAGGTGTCGAGTGTATACAGAACAGCAGAAGGGGTGGGGGCTAAGATGAGAGAGGGGGGTGCAAGATATGGAGTTACAGCGTACGGTGTCTGTTGGGTGAGCAAGGAAAGGATATGATTAAGTCAGTTATGCACACTGAATGGAAGCATGGTAACACGGTTTGCAAAGCATCACTAGCATCACCAGGGTTCGGTCCTGAGTGACAGCAAGGATGAAACGTTTCTTTACTGACAGGAGGACAGCAGAGTGGGGATCCTAATCATCTTCACTACCGAAGTCAATATAAGAAAGCCAAATTGCTAATTCCCAGGCCCTAGTGCACCCCAGGTACCCTCTTCCTTCACAGTAGGCCCCTTTCCCTCCCACAACCTACCCCAGCCCTCACCTCATCAGAGGCTCTGAAGAAGGATTTGAAAGTCCGACTCAGGTTCTGTTCCAGCTCAGCCTCCGCCACTCCCTGTAATAGTTAAGAAAGTGAAATGAAGGACCCAAACCCTAACCCTAACCCTACCCCTACCACTAACCCTAA